CGGGACTTGAGTCTCTAGCCGGACCTGGCTCCAAGTGCCTCTCTGTGAAGCAGTAAAGAGTGCCTCTTTCCCCAGGGGACAAGGAAACAAGGCTAATGCTGGCCAAGGTCTTGCATTTGTTAGTTTTCCTTGTAGAAAAGCTTGTCACCGTAAGTGTAGGAAGTACCCAAAATACTGCGAGCACTCCTGGTATCTCACATTTACTTAGGCACCTTTATATAGACAGTTTATCTGAAGTCTTTAAACCAGGAGGCAACGGTTACTATTAATCCCAGAAATGGTATTCAGAGAGCAGAAGGCTCTCCAAGGAAAGAAAGAACACTGCTTGTCACAATAACATCAGGCATTGGCCGCGTGACCCACCACCATCCTAAAGGAGCTTGAAAACGTATGTGGTGAAATTGCTCCTGAGGACCCCTTCTCGGTGTGGAATGCTGGGGAAAATATTTTTCTAAATGCAAATGTTATAAAGATAGTTTGGGTGGCAAAGTAAATGCCATGTAACTCTGTTTAGGCTTTTTTTTTTAAAGACCTATCCAGGGGCAGCATGCTGTTTTGTATGCTTTGAATATTATACTGCCTCATCCCTAACAAAAAGACAAAAACAAAAACCCAAAAAACCAGAAGGTCTTCCCGTACCTTCTTAGCATATTTGCCTGCATCTGAAATAACACTCAAATTGCAATAACACTCAATAATATTATTGCCATCTACAGATGTATTCAGGCACTGCACCAATAGCTATAAAATACAGCCCTTTTTGTCAATCTACGAAATTTGTATGCATGTATTAAGATTATGGGAAACCACTATTGAAATATACACCCGGGACCTGCATCTTTGAAAAATATGTGAAGTCTTTGATAAATGTATGATCTGCCTGTGGGAGCAGAGGCTTTTCTCTGCCCCTCAAAGCAGCATTGACCTCACTCGTTGCAAGGAGGACATTGAGAGACTCCCCTTCTCTCAAAGGGTTAAGTTATTGGGATTGCAGTGTGGTGTTTCGTGTCTACTTTCAGATGGTGTGATCCTGGGAAGCAGGGAAGGCAAAACCAGGGGGTTAAAAGAAGAGCAGTCGCTAATTTAAAGGTGTTGGAGGCATCCTTTAAATTGGAGTCAGTAGGGAGAAGTTTTTACGTCCATTCCTGACTGGTGGATTTTTACTTTGCTTATGGGGGAAAAGGAGGGTACTTAAACGTCCCTCACCGTAGCAGTCCCAGAGCTTTGCAGCCAGGTCTGAACTGGCGAAGAGCTTGGCTGTGGGGCTTTCAGATTTGGCTGCACACTGGAACCCCAGGGACCGTTATAAAGTGTGGATGCCTGGGTCTGACCCCCAGCGATCCTGATTTAATTATCATGTGGCGTGGCCTGGGCATTAGGAGGTTTTAGAGCTCCCCAGATGATTTCAGTGCACAGCCGAATGAGGACCACTGGTTTGTATGAAGCCTCTTTGGCGACGTGCTCCCTGGCTCCCTGAGACTGGGGTAGGACACTCCCATGTGGAGCCTAATCATCCGTGCTACATCGTCTGCTGTCTGTCCCTGCCTGACTGTAAACCCCCTGAAAGCAGAGACGGTGCCATTCTCATTCATTGCTGTGTCCCCATAGCTGAGGACAAGGACTGCCAGGTACATAGTAGGTCCTCAATAACGATTGTTGATAAAAAGGAGTCCTTTAGGGCTTTCCTATAAATAACTGATGAGTACCTTTTAATTGTATGGACTGAAACTCTTTTCCCTCCTTTGTTTGAAATGTTAATGAAATACACCATTTTTAAAACTTATTATTAAGCATAGTTGTTATACAATCTTATCCTATCTAATAATAGACAAACATGGTAATTAACCATACGTCCAACACCCTTCCCATTGGCTACTCAGGGCGATATGCAAATTAACTGCCAACCAAGATGGCAGCCGGCAGCCAGGCAGCTGAAGCGAACAGGAGGCTTGCTTGCTCCAGTGAAGGAGGAAGCCAAGGTTCCCTGCCTGCCGCTGCTGGGCTCTGAGCTGCACTCTAAGAAACAATGTTGCAATTATAGAAGCTAAACAAACCCCATGCTTTCAGCCAGCCAGCCGAGCTGGAGTTGCAACAGTGTTTCAATTATAGAAGCCAAACAAACCAGATCCCTGCTTTCAGCAGCCGAGGTCTCAGAGCTGGAGCCGAGCCTCAGAGCTAAAGCCGGCTCTCAGTTCCAGTGACAGCCATAGAAGGTAAATAAAACCCAAAAAAAAAAAAAAAAAGAAAAAGAGAGGTTGGGAGCTTCAGTCACCCGCCAGCCTGAAAACGGCCCTCAGCCCCTCACCCAGACTGGCCAGGCACCCCAGTGGGGACCCCCACCCTGAAGGGCGTGTGACCAGCTGCAAACAGCCATCATCCCCTCATCCAGGCTGGCCAGGCACCCAAGCGGGACTCCCACCCTGATCCAGGACACCCTTCAGAGCAAACCAGCCCCCCCGCCCCCCCCCGTGCACCAGGCCTCTATCCTATATAGTAAAAGGGTAATATGCCTCCCAGCACCGGGATCAGCGGAGCCGCGGGGTCTCCCGATCCCGGGATCAGCGGAGCTGCGAGGCCTCATGCCCCGGTATCAGCGGAGCTGCAAGACCTCCCAGCACTGGGATTAGCGGAGCAGCGAGGCCTCACTGCCCCTGTGTCAAGTGGAGCCACGAGGCCTCCCAGCACCGGGATCAGCAGAGCAGTGAGGCCTCCTAGCACCGGGATCAGCTGAGCAGCGAGGCCTCACTGCCCCGGTGTCAAGTGGAGCCGCGAGGCCACCCAGCACTGGGATCAGCGGAGCTGCGAGGCCTCATGCCCCGGTATCAGCGGAGCTGCAAGACCTCCCAGCACTGGGATTAGCGGAGCAGCGAGGCCTCACTGCCCCTGTGTCAAG